TTAAGAGACCTACCGTGAGGTTCAAACCGCCGATTAACTACTAAAGTATTGATGCGATTTAAAAATAAGCGTTTTTTTTTTCTTTCTAGTTCCAGATAAAGAGTTCGTAAAACACTAAAACAACTATGATACCAGTGTGGAGGTAAATTAATATGCAATATTTTTATAACACCGAGTCAACTCTTTAAAATCTTATCAAATATCGTTTTCTGGTGAGAGGTCAAAACAAATCGCTTTTATGTTGGTTTGCAAGCATACTGATGTTTGATAATAAGTGGATCTGTTTGAACAGAAGATCCCCAACAAAGCTACGAGTACTTCTGCTAACGATAAAAGGATTAAAAATAACACGATTAGTGTTCCAAATCCAAAATAAAGGTTTTTGCCGTCGGCCATTTTGCTTCTTAAGCGATGAACCAACTAAATCCATGTGATCAACTTAAATATAATGAGCGTGAAATGTGTAATCCCCGTGGAGTATATGTAATTGCGCGCCGAATATGGCTCCCATTAATTGGATTGGTCCCTTCTGAGCGCCACCGTCCCGACGTTCCTCATTACTACAATCGAGTTTAGTACGCGATTCTACTCGATATCGAAAAGCAATTTCACGTTTCTATAGCTTTTTTTTACAATCACTGCAGAATGAAAAATGAACTCTAAACATGATTTTATTATGTCTAGTCATGAAGGCTGCTATTTGAAACGAAGTTTATTATGAGGTCGATTACATTAGCGTTCAAATTTACACACAGATAATACTGCGACAGCTCTTTATCTTCGTAAATCATTAGCGGCGGAGTGTGAGTGGTGTTAAGCTCGTAAGCCTGACGCTCGGCCGCCCCAGTAAGGTACAAAAGAGCGACATTGTGTGGTCCCGATAGTGCGCTCTCATTTCACGGCAACTTTAGCAAGCTCGTTTGTCCGGCAGTACGGCTCACGCTGCGGATCCGTTGTGCCCCCACTCAAAGGTGTTACATTAGTTATTGAACGCGATCGTCTCAAAATTGAGTTTTAAACTTTAAATCACTTTGCGAAAGAGCCCGATCTTGAGGGTCGAGATCTGATTACAGACTGTTGTCTTTCTATTAGCCTTTGTCGTTTTTGAACGCCTACTAATAAATTTCAATGCAGATTACGTCACTCTTCGTTATCACTTCAAATTGATTTCAAACATTTCCAATAGCCTCGTTTTAATTTGCCACTTGTGTACGCGATAGCTTTATAAATTTTCCATTCAGTTTTACTCCCTTTAATCTTTTAACAACGGTGGCGAACGATTACCCGAGTTCGTAACCGATCCGTATTATTTTGGAATTAAATGGATAGTTAGAAATTGTGTTGTCGATCGTGAAAGGACATATTTTGGTTGGGAATAAAAATAAAAATTTTACGCAGGTTCCAACGTTTTTAGTGACCGAGGCTGACCGTTCAGTGCAGTATTAGAGGGTAAAGTTAGATTGGACGAGGCTGCTGTGTCGAATGTAAAACCCAATTGGGCTTTGATGCTTTAAATGGCACAGACCGAAATAGCCCACCAGCGTGGCGGATCGAGCGTGTTTACGATGCTCTCCAGCTGACCAACTCTGAACCATAGCGTATTCAGATTAAAGGCTTCGCCGGTCATACAGTGGTAGTGTGTTACTCTTGTGTGGGTGGGCTCGATGCTAATCGGACGGAGCTGTTACCGATCACCTGCGTTGTATTGAACTGATTAATTGCTATTGGTTCCGGCGACTCTCAGTCGATATTGTTTTATGTTTGATTTAATTAATTTACGCCGTTAGATACACGTATTGGATATATGCAGTAGTTAATAAGGGTTCAATGATGTCACTTAATTTCGACAGCGATAAGCTGACAGCGTCTTAGTAAACATCAAAAGCGAAATATATTATCAACGGTAACTCAATGTAAGCAAATTATGTACTCACACAAAAGACGGGTACACCATGTTGTATTCAATTAGAATATGTTTATTCCAGAATTTCAGATATACTTTGTCATTAAGTAGGCAAATGTTTATGGTTAAGAGCTAAAATGTCTTAAAAAAACAAACACTATCGATAACATTAAAGGCACCAAAATGATCAGGTTAAGAATAATAAAATACCACACTCACACAAAGCCATCTGGTCCCAAAATAAGCGGTGCTTATACTAAAGGTACTTGACAACTGATAGAAATACAAACACATGTATTCTTTTTTAAGCTATTGCATAGCTTCTATCGCGGGCCTTGAGCGCGGAGACCGAATCCAGAAATTCCGTAACGAAAATAACCTAACACCCCTAACTTTTTAGTTTTGCCATCTATCGATGAATAGCAGAACTTTTAATGACTTTTTTGAAATATCACGCTTGTCTCTGTAGTTCAGCAACTCGCCTCTAGGTGGCACCTACGTGTATTGTAAGATAATAAAAATATTTTGAACAATATTAACTTCTTATTTATTTAATAAAAGAAAAAAGTGTTTTCTTATCGGTCACCACGCTCAAAAAGTGTAACTTGAATTAATAACAAACGAAAAAAAATACTGCATAAATAAAATAAATAAATAATTATAATTGCATAAGTTGATAAAAAATGCTATGCAATAGCTTTACCGCGACAGTCCCCGAGTGCCACACGTCTTTTTTTTATGAATATATACATATTATACATAGAAACATCGAGATCAAATCAAACTGCACGATGGTGTAGTGGTTTAAGCGGTCGCCCGCCGGTTTCTACTACGCTGAGTTTTGTGGGTTCAATCCTCACATGGGACGACACTTTGTGTGATCCACAAACTGTTGTTCTGAGTCTGGGTGTTCTTTGTGTCCGTTCCATGTATGTTTGTAAAATCCTCCGCGACACAGGATACATTCCTAATGCGGGCAAGTCTTCAAAAAAAAGAAAAAAAGAAAAAGATAGAAGAGAAAGAGATTAAATCAAAAGTTAAATGTTCATGCACAAAATGTTTGACATGAGCGAAAATCGAACCCGCAGCATTTGGCTTCGGTTTAGCTGTCACTGGAATAAAAATCCTATGTCCTTTCCCGGAACTCAAACTGTAACTATACCAAATATCATCTAAATTGGTTCAACGGTTTAAATGTGAAGAGGTAACAGATTGACAGACAGACAGACACGCATTCGCATTAAAATATTCAATGGATTTATGTCATAAATAAATTTCAGAACGCCAGTTATAATTAAAATATAGAATAACAAGTATGTTTGTACATACTTATCCGCGAAGAAAACGCCCTAAATAAGTTCTCTGTTCAAATACATTAATATAAATAGTTAAATATTCCATGTGGTGATGGATTATTCCATGAGGTGATCGATTAAGAATACGGATTTCATCATCTATTCATCCCGTGGGTGTCCCGAACAAACCACGCAGGACGGCCAGCGTTGTATAGTAAGCCAAAACCTCTTTTCTAAGGAGTGGTATATGTCCAGCAGTGTACTGTTATAGGCTGTCGATGAAAAGTAACTAACTATCAATATGAATAACATTCGCCTCAGTTTTTATCTTAATTGATCACTTCGCCATTGATCATTTGACCACGACTGAATATGTATATATATATATATATATATATATATATATATACATATTCAGGCTCAAACATGTATATATATATACATGTTTGAGCCTATATGTTGGTTCCATTGCCGCATTATCATCTTCTTAAGCGCCTTCCAAAGCCACCCAGTGTAAATCACTTATGTTTTACTTTCTCAAAGAAAAACAAATCTTGCCATACCCAAGATTGTTTATGTTTACGTGAGCTTAAGTCAAAGTCATTTTTATGTAAGCCTTAGTAGGCGTGTGGTTCCGTAAGTGGCGTTGAACGGAGCAAAGCCTCTTTAGGGTAGCTTAAGCATAGATTGTAGAGGCCTCAGAGCTTTTTCCAGTCCAGTGTTTAACGCCGAGATTAGTGTGCTGAGGAAGTAACGCACGGCTTTTTATTGATCTCTAATTCAATATAGGGCTTCGAAAGTACGGTTTTAATCAGAATGTATGCGTTAAAAATATACCTATATACGATTCTTTGATGATTACAATTCTTTGTTTTTTCTTTTTATAAAAAGGCAACGCGCGCACTAGGAATGTATCCTGTGTCGCTTATCTTCCTATTAATATTAGAATGGGGCAAAAATTCAGATATTTTTGTCTCGTGTTCAAATATTAACGTTATGAGGGGAAACGCAGATATACTAATACTGATTGTTATATTTTTAATACATCGGACGGTTACTTCCAGACAACTCCCGCATTAGGAATATATCCTGCATCGCTCGGGATTTTATAAACATACATGAAGCGGAAACATAGAACACCCAGACTCAGAACAACAATTTGTAGATCACATAAAGTGTCGTCCCTTGTGGGAATCGAACCAACACTCAGCGTAGTAGGAAGCGGCTTGGCGGCTGCTTAAACCACTACGCCATCCGTGCAGTCATTGCAGTATATTTCTTAACATCAAACAACGTTCGTCAAACTCTTATAGGTGCTATCCGGTAACATTACATAATGATATTTCCGAATAACTAATGTATATCGGGCCTGTTGGTCTAGTGGTTAGTGACCCTGACTGCTAAGCAGGAGGTCGCGGGTTCGATTCCCACCCAGGACAAATATTGTGTGATGAGCACGGTCATTTGTTCTGTGTGTGGGTGTAATTTATCTATGATATGTATGTATTTAGAATTATATAAGTATATTTATCAGAAGTCTGGTTACCACAGCACAGGCTCTGCCTAGTTTGGGATCAGACGGCCGTGTGTGAACATCCATGTGAACGTGATTAGAGCTAAAAATAATCAGAATCTCTTTTTATAATCAGAATTCTGTAATAGTTTATAAATTTTGCCTAAATTCAGAATTTTCCAGACCGCTAACGTTATTATTATAACACAAAATTACACACGACAAAACCATAGTATGTTACTTTTATTATTTAAATCAAGAGTAAAATAACAACTTGGTTTTGCTTCAGTGCCTCCAGAGAAGCCAGTGGTAGTGGACCGCTGGGGGCGCGTCATCAACACCACCACGCTCGGACCTCATGAAGAGGGGGATGACGTCCTGCTCACCTGTCGAGTACTCGGAGGTAAGTGAAATGCTATTACTGACGTTTTTGTATTAACATTATACCACACAATCCACTGGTAATATTTTGATTCCACTGTGTATAGATATCAAGTTCTCTCTTTATAAATACTGCACCCATGTTTACTAAGTAATACCAGAATAGCGGTTACTTCATAAATAAAACAACACAACTCACAAAAAAGTGATTTCATCTTCAAGAAAATCATTCTTATAGACATTAAATTAAAATCCATATTTTTCACAGAGTTGTTTGTTTGACTTGTACGCCTTCAAACGTTCACATCGTAGAATATACTTTGTAATATTTTTGTTAGCTGATTCCATTTCAATCGACTGTCCAATGAGATTGAAATTTGAATCTTTGAGACACCGAGACAATTTCTGATTTCCAATAAAACAGACTTTTTATTGAGTTAGCAGTTTAGCAACCCACATTTCATTTTTATTACATTCCGTAACTTAAATGAACTCACTTTTATGTCGACTTAGCTCTATAAATATCATTTGTCGATTCTCTTTATAAGGAAATCGCACAGTCATATTTAAGTTAATAATGTTTCATCAAACCCGGCTCCTTCAAAGCACATTACGATAAATTGCTGATAACAAAAACACTCAGATTACACCGCATAGAGTATTCTATTAGGGAATGAAATTGTGTGTCGGTATAACATTGTTTATTATATTAATTAATTCGGAGCGGTTCAAGATGAGGTGTTCGCTAAGCCCGCGGTGGCACTTTCAATCAGTTCGAGTTTCCAAATTTACTCAGATCTAATAAATTATGATACACAATGGATTAGCCTAATGAATTAATGTATCCGAGAGTAGGAGAGGCACACTGATGAATTCGTAACAAATTGCACCTCGCGATCAGGTGAGTCCACGAGTGGAGTGAGTCTAGTATATACTTATATAATACAAGTCATTATTTTATTGAGTACTATTTAGTGTTTACATGTTAAGTGTAAACTAATTAAATTTTATTACTAAACATGTAACTGTGGCAAAAAAAAACCTACTACACACATATGTACAATATATACTCGTATATGTACGTAATCGCTATAATTTGTCAACTCTGAAGCGACACTTCATCAGTACTTTTATGTCACTTTCTATTTATTTCCCGACAAGCTTCTTTTGAAAAAACAGGTGTAAGATATAAGAACGATATTGTTTTGTAGTTCTAAAATTCAAAAAGCTGTACAAAACTGTTTTGTAGTGAGTTTGATCATTTAACCGTCCCTAGTTTAAAATGATTTTTTCAAACTAGGGACGGTTAGGGTTTCTATCTGATTTACATTGTAGATAGAAAATAAAACTGCAGAATTATGTGCTCTTAATTATGGACTTACCAATCGCTTTGTTCATAGGAATCCTTAAACTTGCAGCGCGTATTTGCTTTCGTTGCCTGTATATGTACATTCCGTTGTCATAGTTACAAAGTCCCATTTACCATTGCTATAGCACGGTGCACGCTTTACCGGAATGGGATGCTCGCTGTATTTGAAAACAATCTTATATTCAGCCAGAGTTAATCTCTGAACGAAATACACAACGCTGTGTTAGTTTTGTTGTGTTCTGGATGCGGACGCTTGTTTGTGTCTCGTTGGACAGTAGGTAATGGATGAGAATGCAACACGAGCTATGACATTTTATAAAATGAATTTTATTTCCTCTCTGAAAACCACACAGGATTTACAAAACCTATTCTTTTTTAAGTGAACATTTTATAGTGAAAGTTTGTAAATTAAAAATAAATTTCAATTACCTTAGAAGTAAGTTAAGTAAACACACACTCAAAGCTCTTGGTATAACTCGCTTAGAACTTTCTCCCCCGTAGAGCTTTAGTAACTATACACATCAGCAAATACAACATTAGCTGTTCACGTTAATGGGCTGACTTCTGAGAACGTTGAACCGGATAAAGTGGAGAAGATTAATGAGGAACACAATAGTTGAATGATGACAGTAGAAGGATACTAACTTTAACTGCACGGGTAGCATAGTGGTTTAAGCAGTCGCCACGCCGCTTCCTACTACGCCGTGTGTTGTGGGTTCAAACCCCACATGGGACGATAATTGGTGTGATCCACAAATTGTTGTTCTGAGTCTGAGTATTCTTTGTGTCCGTTTCATGTATGTTTGTAAGTCTCCCGCGACACAGAATATATTCCTAATCCGGGAGTTGTCTTTTTAAAGAAAAAAAAGACATGTTCCGCAATAAATAATGATGTTTACGGGAATCGACGCGTTCACGATAGGTATTAATTACATACCCTTGTGCCTGACCAGGTAGCACTGGCCGTGGTCATAGACTGACTGTCTGTTTGACTGTGAGGACGTTAATTTCCGTAAACGTAATTACGCAGAAGAATACACCGCATGAAATTCTTTGCTATACAAAGAACATTCGATTAGCCACAGCTTATTATTAATATAAATTAGAACATAACTAAACTCAAAGTATCTTTATTTCATAAAATTCTTTTAAAGTTGTTTGAAATCGTCTCTTATATAATCACTCTAGTCATATATCACCACACAGAATAGAAAAAAAAATATCAAAATTAATGTATTATCAACATCCTTTAATAGTCCACTGCTGGACATAAGCCTCTGCTTAGAAAGGAGGTTTTGGCCTACTTTCCCACGCTGGCCAGACTGTTTGGTACAGGTTTTGTGTCAAGTTTTCCTTATTTTTGCAGCGCTGTTGTCCTGCGTAGTTTGCTCCCTTAGTCGGTTCTTACGACACCCACGAGATGAATAGAAATGGTGACACTCCGTATTTTAAATCCATCACCAAACTTTTTAAAAGAATCAAATAAATGTATACCTATAGAAAATATATTATATGCCTGTGCCGATGTACTCTGCCGCCATAATGGAAAAAGACGCATCTACATAAATGACAAACCGGAGAAAAAAAATAGTTTCCATTTTATAAATTGTAAAATTCGCTGTCTCCAGGAAAATAAAAAAACCATTAATATTTTTATGCTAGTGGATGCCTGGCAGGTTGATCTCTATAATAATGATTGAAAATTGAACAAAAATAATTAAATTCATTTAAATAATCCACATTTTACTTTTCATTGTAGTACAAAAATTGCAAAGAAATACTTTATACTACAAAGAAAAGACGTTTCTGGCTAGAAACGTTTTTTTTGCGTAGTAATTGATCGTACGTCTTTCTTACTAAGTAATATAACGCGTTACCAGATAAAGAAACCTAAAATAAAGGAACGTTTCTAGCCACTTACTGCGTTTCAACTTAGTGAAATAAGAGAATTATCAGTATTAGAAATACCGATGCGCCCTTGCACCCTTTTAATGCTTATTAAATAATTGACATGTTTACCACTTATACTATAATAAAATACTTACATGTTTACCACTTATACTATAGTTAAATCAATTTTTTATTGTAAATAAAATATTCATCTTTACTAATATTATAAAGCTGAAGAGTTTGTTTGTTTGTTTGAACGCGCTAATCTCAGGAACTACTGGTCCGATTTGAAAAATTCTTTCAGTGTTAGATAGCCCATTTATCAAGGAAGGCTATAGGCTATATATCATCACGCTAAGACCAATAGGAGCGGAGCATCAATGAAGAATGTTTCAAAAACGGAGAAAATTTATTACTATTGAGAGACGCAACCGAAGTTGCGCGGGTGAGCTAGTATTAATAGAAAATTATGATTTCTTCACAAATAAAAAATTCTATCAAATTTTTAAATCATTAATAAAAATACTAATCACAACAAATGTTAAATCTCTTTCAGAAACAAAAAAAAATTAAAACAAAAAAAATTTAAAACATAAAAAGTAGTAATCATAGAATGAACAATTTTTCATAACTTTATAAAAACTAAACAAAATTCTCTTTAATATCATTAGGAACATTATCACAGCCTTAGGAGGTATTTTTACTTATAATGCAGTCTTCATAAAATTTTGTAAGATCGACACTATTTTTATCAGTAGGTAAATTATACCAAAATAACTTTCTTTTGTCTGGCATTAAAGGGGTCAGCTTTTGTGTAATCGCTGACTTGCGCTCTTGAGTAACTCCTCTACACTGTTTATTTGGTTTTGGTGACGGTATACCAGATTTTATATTTTTTACTCTTAAAAATTCGAGTGAGTATTCTTGCTCTTTGTCAAAATCAGTTTTGTAACGAATAATGTGTGTGCCTCTGAAGAATGTTACTTCGCAAATGTCACTTAGATAGGCTCGGGGTGATGAATTTTGCAGTTTGTATGTTGAAGAACAATCTTCGAACTGATAAAAATTTGCCACATTCATAACTTTAACAGTGATATTGGTTCTGGTGTTCGATACTGTTTTTTTAAAAATCTTCAAAATCATAAATATGTTTCTTTTTTTTCATAGATAACTCTACCTGGTGATGAAATTCGTCTGCAGCCATGAATGTGTGGCCTACCTCTAAATATTTGAGCACAAAACTTTCTTTGAACACTATTATTCTTGGGCAAAACATAACAATTTTAAATTCTTCAATTCGTGGAAGCATAATGACTTTCTCCAAATCCGCAGCAAAATAGGCAATGTCTGAATTAATATAAGTCTGATTTTGTTTTTCGCCGTCAGATTTATATGCTTGCCTGGCTGTTGTATATTTGTTCCGGTGTCTTTCATAACCTCGGCACTCTTGACAATTTCTATGTCTTATGTCTTTAAATTCCGGGTTGTGAATAAAATATTTTTCACAAACTTCACACTCTTCATGTCCAAGTTTTGAAAAGCTTATATTTAACTTTTTCAATTGTTTTCTAAAGTAGTCATAAGACACATGTTCGCCATCAGACGGATGCTGTCTGCAAAAGTCTTGATACATGCTAGCCACTGTTAGGTCAGACGGAAGATATTTTCTATTTGGGGCGTGCTCGCGGCGGTAATGGGATATGGAAGGGTTGAATGAGTTTATGTGTTCTAAGACTTTGGTGTTGTCGAACTTTTTCGGATTA